AGAGCGTCAACACGGCCCCTCTTCCCCAAAACAAGAGGAAGAGCACGTTTCAGTCACAGATTTAAAAAATGTAAAATACTTTATTTTGCTGAAAGTAGAGAAAAGCCTCTGGCTCTGCATCTTCTCTAGAGCATTGGATCTGCCCTGGGAGTGACAGAGCGGGGCAGAAAACCACAGCCACCTCCCCCAGGCAGAGGTCACTAAAAACATTCACCCGCAGAAAACCAGACTGTACTAAAAAAATGACAGACGTGGAACCGGCCACAGGTACCCAACAGCGACAGAGCTGGGTGCACCGCGTGCCCCTGCCACCGAAAATAACAGCACAGCCCAGCAGAGCGCATGTTGGGCGTGGGGGGGAAACTCAGACCAGCAAGGGCGATGCCAGAGGCCTGAAGAAACACAAACCAGCAGCAGAGGAAGGTCCCAGGGGAGCTCTGCGCTGCCACTTCTTTTGCCGATTGCTTCATACCGGCTTTTTTTTAACCCTGCTGTGTCTTCCCAGCTCTCCTGCGTGACTCGCTTCTTCTCTGGTCCTGCTTTCGTGGTTAGCTGAAGGAGATAACCATTTCTGAAATCCCACCGCAGTGAACTCCCGGCTCTTCCTCTCCTACCCTACCACCAGCAATACAATTTTACGTGCCATGGGAGGACTTGCAGTGACAGATAATCCCTCCCAGGACGTGGAACACATGGGTTCAGAAGTCACCTGCAAGACCCACCTCATCTCTTGTACACTGCTGGCATTAACATCTGTGGACCAATTTTAGGATAAAGCTCACTTCCACAACATGCTCATGAAAAAAGACCTACAATACAAGAAAAATTGTATTTCAGCCTGGATTTGTAACTCTTTTTGCGCAGGAAACACTTGTCATGTGGAATTCCAACTTAGGGGAGGGGAAGGAAGGGTATGACGATGCATTTCCTTTATGGGAAGAGCAAGGTTTACAAAGGGATATGAGCTGTGCCCTTTGGTAACAGACATTCATCAGCAATAATGCAGACTTGTCAGACGGCACCCGCGCAAGGAACTGACTAACATCACTCCTGCACGGGACACTAAGAGCTGGATGCATTTAAAACAAGATTCCATCTCTCCGCGCGCATGCTAAGTGTATTAAGGTCACCTGTAAGCACGATTTTCTCTTCCACATATGCGTCAAAGGCAGCTACACTATGTTTGCTCTGTAAATTCAAGTGCTGCTTTATTTACTTATTTTACTTCCATTTAACTTATTTAGAACAATTTCCATATGGTGACATGCCTTTAATGACACTCATGACTCAGATACTTGTCGATGTAGGCAAACAACATCTATGGACAATGAGTCACTGAAGTTAAATAAATGTTATTAAAAATGAGACAAAACAAAAGGCAAATATATGTATCTCCAGCAGAATGATAGGGATCATCACCATTTGATCAATCTTCCCTGTGAGTTATATCTGCAAGTTACTTTGAGGTAGCGCTAGAAAGAAGCTGTTGGTCCAAGAGCATCCCTGCAAAAAGAAACATTCATGGCTTAAGTACCATTTAACCTTTTTGTACCCTTTTAAGTACCCTTTACGGCCTGTTTGTTTCTCCCTGTTGACTGGCTGCAAGGATTAGTGGCCTGAAAGCCTTTCTGTGCAGAGAAGTGGTAGAAAACAAAAACACTACTCTTCTTGAAGAAATTAGCGGGTTTTGAGTAAAGGCACTATCTACTGCAGCTAGGTGCAATGAAGAGTTTGTAAAACCAATACTACATATTCTTGCAAAAAAACCCTTCATCCAGCCTAAAAAAAACCAACCCAAACCAACTACATTTCAGCTGGGTAAAACAGACAAAACAAAACTAGAAGCAGCAAAATATCATGGTGTCGAAAGTTGCTTCTAAGACTGATTTTTTTTATTTTTTTTAAACGCTCCCCCTGCAAGCAGATCTTTGTAGAACTGATGGCAGGCATTGGTGTGACATGTTGAGGTCTTTGCATAAGCTAGCTCGTGCAGGCTGGTAGTTGCAGAACAGCTGTAAGCTTACTCAGTAAGAAGTTTCAGCAATGCATTGTAACAGTGCTGATGCACTCACTTTCTCCTGTATTTGGGGCTCATGGGTAATGCCCATGAGCAATACTGGAAGAAATTCTGCATTCAGTACGCCTTTATGTGCACTGCGCACACCATCTTGATCCCACGTATGCACTCCTAACTGGAGAGAGGAATAGGCTAGTAAGGCTCAGGAGACAGAAAGAGAGGTCAGAGAGCCATTTAGAACAGCATCACACGGGCTGCAACCAACACACTCCCTTCCTCGCCTCATTTTTCTTGTATGCTGACTGGAAGAAAACACCCCCAGCATTTCTCAGGTCCGGAGAACTAACGGCCCAAACCACCTCTTCCACTGCATTACCTAAACAGTATTGCCACTATATGGGCACCTTACAGCCCAGAACAGAAGGCATGTGCACATCTGAAAATAGTCTCTAACTCAGACCACTGAGACCTTGTTAACAGGTAAAATCTGCATAAATGGGGTGGCTACAGTCTGTGCCTTTTAAAGTTTATGTACAGTGGTGATGCAGACGAAGTGGCACCACAGTTACATGGGCCCCTCAGTACATACTTCACATAGATCAACCTCCCAAATGCCAAAAATCAGTACAGATACTCCACAGTACTTCTGAGCCAGCACACATCCTTAGCATCACATTTTCAACTGGTGATACAATAAAAGGTTTCCACAAATCACTTGCTCCAACTTAGGTATAGTGTTAGGCAATGCCAGGCAAGCCACTTCAAGGCAGGATATAACCGAGGCACAGAGCTGGAAGCTGTCTTGCTGCTCATGGTGACGATACTTCCTAGGTACCAATTCCTTTGCTTAACAGACCAGTTTGTACTGCCAAGCTCAAGCATGACAGCTGTGCACTACAACTGAGGTGGCATCAAATCCTGTACAGTTTTGAAGCTTTAATGCTCCCATTCAGATTCAAGGGACCTGCCACCTATGCTCTTGGGTTTCCCCCATACTGCAGTCCCCTGAAACCTAACAATACACACACACAAGCACTCCCTCTCCCACACAGATTCTCTTGGCTTCATTTATTCCACTCGCTGTCACCTTCTCATTAATAGTCTCCCTCCAAAGACTCACCAGTTCACACAAGGTAAACAGTCACCCAAGAAATCTGTGTTCCCAGCTACCTTGCAACAAGCACTGCCCAAAGCAGTGAAACAGCTGCAAAAACTGGGATGCTCCTCCCCCTGCCTAGATGAGATTTTTCACTTTTTGTCTCTTCCTACATGTACATCTACACAAAATCCAGGAAGAATGAACTTCCTATAATATTCCAAAAGCCTCTTCTGTTTCAGAGCATCTGGATTTCATGGGTGGGACACTGAAAATACTCGTAGCCAAAATTAAACTGTGAAAATATTCTGGTCAGCAGCTAGAAGGGACCTGCCAACACCGATTCATCACTCTGCGATACAGTATTTGTTTTAAGAACAGCATATAGGTTATGTCCACCACTTTAATAAAAGAGCCAGAGAACTTTATTCCTATTTGTCATCACAGCAATTATGGTTTAGATTGCCCCCAAAACACACATGGCAATACCAAAGTGTCTTGACTAGCTTTAGTAGCTTCCACATCTACTAGCTACAGTAATTTCTGCTACCTTTTTCTTACAAGTGTATTCTTCTGTTTCCAGCCTAACTTATTTCATCATTATGTACATGAAGTAGTAAATACTTTTGTATACACATGGGCTTAAGTAGCCCCTATGACTGGAAAATACTTTATACCCTTCAACAGTTTAGAGGAAGCCACTCAGAAGTTGCTAGCTTAAAGCACAGCTTTCCTCATTGTTCTTTCCCCTAATCTTTGACTTGAACACTGCAAACTGTCATCCTACTAAAATTTTCTAACTTTATCACTACAAAAACACCTGAGCATGAAGACTGATCAAATTAGAGATGTTTATAGTAGGATAGGGTTCAAGAGTTGTTACTAGGATAGCTTTTTGTTACCAATGGGTTATTTTTACTCCTTTAAACCAGAAAGTTATTTTCTCCAAGGATTTTTAAGTTTAAGAACATGTATTATATTACATCAGTTTCTTTGCTGTAAAGATGACAAACAATAAGAAGTGCAGAAAAAAACCCCTGTCAGTAGGGATCATCCTTAGTCTTTGGAATGTTTACAGCTACAGCAGCTGAAAATCTTTGCCCTTCTGTATTTTTAAAATACTGTACTGATAAAGCACTTCTAACTGACTTGGCACATCAACAGTTGTACAGTTAGGGCCAACAGACTGCAGAAGACTGGGTCCAAGTGCTCCCACAGTAAACCCTGGGAGTGGCTCCCAAATACATATTATCTAAGCAAGTGTGGTAAGAGCTTGCAAAAAGATTGCCCAGGCAACTTAGAAATACATGAGAGCTAGTTTTTGCTAGTGTCCTGATGACCATACCAAAACAAAGAGAGGTGAAATACCCCTACTGCCTCCAGCTGAACTCCACAAGCCAGAAGAGAATGTGCTTCACATATGTAAGTAAAATCCCTTGCTGGCAAGGTTTGCAGAAACAAAATTTTATTTACACAGGCAAGTCTATCTTTAGACCCCATTGAACTCTTTACATTTCTAGAATATTTACATGATTTCAAGATGCCCCAAGATTAGAGTGATGGACAAAAAAAGATTACAGAAACTGTCAAAAGCATAGCAAAAAAAACCCAACCTATCATTGTGCTTTAAAACTTATGATCTAGAGTAATGTAGAAGAAATGTAATTTTAGCACCTTGGTCATAACGGTCATGCTATATAAGACACTTAAATAGCAGGGGGGATGTCAGAAGTGACCGTATCCAGAGGTTGCCAATGACAATTCATGAGGGAATCATAGAGTTCTTCACTTGTCTCCATAAATTGTCTGTTCATTTCATCAATATCCAAGTAAAGCTGTGGATCTGAAAATAAAAGCCTGGTTAAGTACAACTGTCAGATCTTGAGAGGCATGCACACAAAAACATGAAGTAAATGCCTAGTGAAATGTATTTTAGCTAAATTTAGTAAGATGTTTATTCACCTTAGAATTTAACAAACCTGACAAATCAACTTATTTCAGAATTTGTGTATTAGAATGCTAGGGTATTGCTATTTCAAGATAAAGAGCAGATTTAAGGATAATTAACCATGAAACTCTCCCAAAATGTATTTAATTCATTTCTACAACAAAATGCATTATGCAGGATAAAGCTTCTGTACACTAACACACGATGTCTATGCAAGGAACTGTCCACAAACCTCCCAGGCCAAACGATTAAGTTTTGTACCAAATCTTTAAATGCAAGCTGAATCCTCCTTTTAGGATCTGCAAAATAAGCTTTTACCTCAGTGTTTGGAAAACAAAGCTTCTGCCTATTGATGAGTTTAACACAGAATACGCTTGTCCGAATCAATACAAAGATACGACAAAGTCTGTATTAGACCATTTTGCAAGGAGAACAAAAGCAAAGTTACAAGAAACCTACTGTGAAGTGCTGTTGACAGTGTCCCATTCTACTCCACATGGTGTACACTATCAGCTTTAAAATCCTACCTCATCTCAGCTATAATCCATAGAGGAACTCACTACATCAGTTGACTTCCCAAGACATTCTCCTTCCAATAGCCATTGGCTTGTATTGTTAAAGGGCATAAGTATGGCTAAATTCAAGTTGCAGTGATAGAATCATCATTACCTTCAGTTATTAGGTCATCATTGATTTCAGTCATAACTGAAGTTTCCTAAAAAGATAATAAAAGTATCAGAAGTTTAATCATAATCCATTTCAGAAAGCATCACAAATCAAAAATGATTTCCTACTCCCAAACCACTCCCTCCTCTCACAGCTACAAGAACAGACAGTGGGGATTTTGCTAGGAAGGGTTTTTTGTTTGTTGTTCTCCCCAAGAAAACCATACTAAAGTTCACGTTGGAAGGCACTTCTGGAAGCTGTAATTGATAATTGGTCAATCTAAAATAAGACCATATTATAGTAATTCTTTAATTTGCTTTAATCAAAGTACATCAGAGGAACAGAACAAGTCTACACGATTATGCTGTCAGAACTGTTATTTGGCATACACAAACAAATAATGGTGTACAAGTCTCTAATTCTATAAATGCACTACTGAAGCACTTAAAAGATACCTCTGAATGAAGCCTGCTATTCCAACCTTGACACTAAGCAGAAAGTGCTATTTCAGTTTTATAATTTCTTTTTGCTCTGACTCACAGTTTGTACAACTTAGTTGTGGGGTTTTTTTTTTTTTCTTGAAAGCGAATGTGTAGTATCTTTACCTCAAAAAGAGCTGGAGCCATAACAGCATCTCCTAAAGAGCAGTCTCCAACAGCTTGCATGCTATCATAGGCAGCATAGGAGCTGTAGTTGTAGTCAGCATAAGCATCATAATTCCACTGCGAGTAGTAGTTCTGATAATCTTGGTAATAATCATTATAGTTGTACGACTGGTACCGCTGGAATTCTGCTTTCAGTCTGAAACATGAGAAGTTACATACAGTCAGAGTTTAAGAACAATGAACTGTAAACCCAGTTCTGAAGTTAAACAATTTGCCAGCTTATGCATTTCAAAATTTAAAAGGAAGCTTTTCTGAATAGTTGCCTAAGCAACAGTCTAAGTCACAGCACACCATCTTGTGTTTATACAGAAGCAAATGCTCTCACCTTTGCCAATACCAACAGTAAATATTTTTGTGTATTAACTCAAGCCATGACACTTATCTGTAATCATTTTGAGTATTTTTAGTGTATGTGCAAGCAAGCTGCTGATAAATCTTTGTGCTTCACTAAAAAATAATTTAAAACCAGAGACATTTATCAAGCACAGCTGCTTTAGATGCATTCAGCCTTAATTAGCCCTTCTATCTTTTGTTTAATACTAAATCTTACTTCCAGAAACAAGGGGGTGAAGTCAGATTATCTGTTTCAGAGGAGCATCTGACACTGCCTGCCAGTTTGCCATGCCTGCCTCCACCTGCTTCGCTTGTAGGCCATGAAGCATTTACCAGTTGCCAAAATATACCTGTTGGGTGAAATCAGCACTGCAATTATCCAACACAAAGCCAAATAAGTAGGAAAATGACAAAACTCCTTGGTTCTTAACACCAAAGGGCCAGCTGATTAGTTTTCACTACTTTTCATCTCCTGAATTTTTTTCTCAGGGACAACTTCACACTAACAACAAGAATCAATGCACAAGTGTCATCTGTGGTAGAACAAAGGTACACTACATAAAATAACATTCAGATAACCCAGCTGCACATTCCAAAAAAACAAATCCTGTGCCTAAGACATTTCTTCACTGATTAGGTACAGGCAGACCTCCTGTGTTCGCAGAGTCCACTTTCTCTGCATCTCCACTTCAGATCTAGGCTTTTTGACAAGAATGCCAACTGAAGGAGCTCAGAAATAGAGTGTCCAATGTAAGTGAGACTCAGTGACAAACTACTCCGATGGCTGGATATTTTGATGCTCGGACAGCACAGCACTCAGCCATTCAGAAACAAATATAGATTTGCAATGTGTATTTTAATATCTGCATTACATTTGTTTCATTACTGTAAAGCTGCACACGCATTCTAATAAAGAGGTATTCTACTCCCTTGCTACTGCAGTAAACAGATTACTAGGTAGTGTCTCAGTCTTTTGCTTCCAACTTCTCTCCTACATAAATCTCTGCAGGAAAGAAAAATCTGAACATACTGTTGACATTCTTCTGGATAGCAGAAGTGAGGAAACCTGTTTCTTTGTGACCTCTTCCTGTTTTCAACATAATTTAGAGTAATTCTGGACAGTGCTCTCTTGGGCAAGAGCATTTCCATTCCAAAGCAGAGGCAACATTTTCAGAATTATGCAGGGTGAAGGAGAAACAAAAGCTGTTATTTTTACTATTTAACAGAACATACAAGCTAACCTCATGAATATACCGAGATTGTTTATATAAACATTCTATTTTTGTCTGTACCCTGGATGAAAGTTTGTCAAATTTGCTATCAATTCTCTAACTGTTCAGAGACATGAATTGCCTAAAATAACTGACTGAGGGAACTGAGCTGGCAGAGTAAAAAACCCTCTTAGAACCAATCAACTTTAAATTCCCTGCTGCTCCAGTCTCTTGAAAACCAAAGAGCAGTAATCTAAAACTGTTCTGGTAACATCTTCTTTGGCTCCCCCTCTCCCCGCCCATATTCCGTATGTATTTTTCCACTTGAGAGTTCCTTCCTCTGCCAGCCTACTGTAAAATTAGCAACATGCTACTACTTTGCCTAAACTAGAGGAAAATGTCTAGAAGAAAAGCTCCCTAGCATACAAAACCGCTTGTTGTCCCTTCTACCTTTTTCAGGCCCAAACCTAGAAGATATTTATGAATGCATTCAGCTTTGCTACTACAAGAATTAAGGCTGGTTACAACAGCAGCTAAGCCCAAATTAGACAATCTGGCTAGACTTACGAGTTGGATTCCCCCAGCAATCCTGAAAGAGGTTGATGAACCCAGGGAGTCAAAACATAGTGCTTCTGTATTTTTGCTTTTGTAGACTGCACCATGTGTACAGCCATTATAGCAAGGGCCACAGACTTTACAAAGGCAGAGCCACAAGAATCTGATTATTTAGAATTACTGTATCAATGCACAACTCATTTGTTACCTTTTAGAAATTCCTATGCTCAGCCGGATTCGTTTTCCCCCCAGACCTGGTGCATTCTGGCAGTCTTGCAGTGCCCTCATCTGATCACCTTGCTCACCAAATCTGACAAAGGCATACCCTCTACAATTTTCAAAAGGGAGAAAACAAATTCTAGTATGTGTAACAGTTACAAAGCTAATTAATTCAATTTCTGTCTTCTACAAAAACAGAAAATAGTAGCTACTACAGCTTCTATTACCTAAGCAACCTCTCTGGCATGTGCCCACGCACAGAAGATGCTTTCACCAAATAAAAAACTTGGGCCAGAAGCAAAAAGCTTGATCTTTGACAGCATTAAGATGCAACTTGCTGAGAGCCAGCGAAACAATACATTTTAATTGCTATCTGTAATCAGTTCTATATTTCTGCAGTTAATTTATCAGTTAGTATTAACACACTCCTACCACTACAGAGTACTAACATTCTTTTTATACTTGCTTTCTCTTAAGTTTCTTGAATTAGTCTATTACAACCAGCCCTGTCTGAACAGCAAACTCGCTCATCCCTGCTTGACTCGCTGCCTGGCCAGTGTAACTTGTGCTAGGCTTTACTTACTAATATCAATAGCTTCAGTCTCCCAACCCTCTAAGATTTACCAGGCCTTATGCTTTTCTCCCACATGTAAAAAGGGAAATACTTTGTTTTCAGTACCACAGATGACTAAGTGGACACACTGCTGTATGTAAACACAGCAGCACAGATTTCAGTGCACAGCTCTCCCTTCTCCCACCATCTGATTTCTTTCATGCAGATATACACATGGCTAAACTGAAGCTGATTACAGCAACCGCTTAAGCTAACCAAGAAGTTTTAGAAATGCAAGGATTTGTACTGTCAAAAACAGAAGTAATGCTAGAGACTAATCTCTCTTCCTGCCTCTGAAGAAAATGCAGAAACAGTTCCAATGCAATTTCTTATATATTACTTATAGCAGCAAACATATTGACAGCATTACAAATTTTCACAGCCATTACCTGGAATATCCCAGCAGGTCTGTTGCTATTTTGCAGTCAATACATGAGGGGTACCTCTTTAGGAAATAGTCATAGAGCTGGAAATCATCCACTTCTGGAGTAAGCTCCCCAACAAATATCGAATAATCCGGTCTTTAAAAGAATAAAAGAAAACAATTGTCCAGTTTGAGACTACAGTAGCAGTATTAAGGTACCTAACGCATAAGCAGGTAGTGATCACTGGACAAATAAGGAGACAAAATGTGAGAAGAGTGTTAACAGCAAAAGTCTGCCAGGTAATGTACATCAGCAGAAAGTTCTCAGTTTCTCTGGGTCCATTCTACTGCTTTTGCATTTCAACAAGGACCAACCGTAAGAGTTTTACAAGATGGTTTTAAAAAGAACTATGTATTGTCTGAATGGAAGGAGGGGGAAAGGACGCACAAGAATGCCAAGCCATACTACTAATTCAAGTTACAGCCATGATTCAGAAGAGCTGACTATTTTGCCACCACTTCTCAGTGATTACGGGAGAGAAACTACAAAAAACCTACATTACTCTACTGGCAGTACATTGCCATAAGCAATACTTAGCGTATACACATCAGATGTGCCATTTCAAGATTTTAAATATAAGTGATTGTATTCACTAGTCACTATCCATTTAAACAGATGAGGGGTCAGAGCTTCTCATTTCAAAAGGTCTTTACCTGGCTGAAGTACTACTAGGGACAAACTCTATTCTTGCTGGTTTTATTTTGTTCTTTTTCTTCCGTTTCTTCTGTGGTGTTCTCCACCAGCTGTAGGCCTGGAGACATTCTCTTTTTTTCGCCATTAAGTCCTGTTGGGAGAAAAAGATCACCTTTATAGTATTTAGCCTTATTTACATTCCTCCCTCCCACTCCCCATCACCACAGGTGATTTCCCCATATTCACCTTGCCCTTGAAAGAAGCCTGGGGTCCCATTTCTCCCTCCGCCTCCCATGAGGGAAAGCAGCCTCTGGGGAAAACGCCTGGCAAAAATAACAGAGCCAAAGGATTGTATGAACAGCCATATTCCCCTGACTTGTCAAGCTGGCTAAAGGATTGACGGCTTCCTCTCGGAATTAGGGAAAAAGCAGATAGCCCTTCGATGCTGGCCAATCCTAAGTGTTAATTAGCTCCAGGACTGGACTGTGTTGTTCCACTTGAGCTCCAGGACTCAAAACCCTTCAATAGTACAGTCTGAGTGATGAAGAGACAGGGAAATCATCACTGTTGTCTCGAAGGGATCTCAGCTGTCCCTATCTCCCCTCACCTAGGAATTCTTCCCTTATGCGAGATGCCTCTCCTCACTACCTAGCTGTGAGTCACTCTCCCAGGCCAGGAACAACAACAAGAGGCCGATTAATGGAACGTAAGGAGAAAGCAGACCAGGAACAGGCACTGGCTTGGCTGAGGGAAAACTCAAACCCAGGCGCAAGGCCAGGAAAAAAAGAGGCTTAAAAAGTGCCTCTTTGAAGAAAAAGAAAGAAAAAAAGAAGAAAAAACGACATCCCCAAAACCACAGTTTAAAAAGGAAGTGGGGCAACTACACAAACGAGGAGGTAAGCAACAGCTGTGTTAACACAGGCTGCCTCCCTCAAGATTCTGAAGAACAAGGATTTCCAAAAATAAGAATGGCATTTCACAGCATTTTTACTTACGCAGGCTTTTATGTTCTTCCTCTAGAACACCTCTGCATATATCTTATATAGAGGGTGTTATGCGCAAGGTCCTTCAGAAGAACCCATGCTCAAATAATCCAAACTGCAAAGCTTAATGTTATGCCCCAACCTGCTTCCGTTGATACAATTAAGTGTCCAGAGGACAGCCACCAATTACCAAATTACCAGAAGAAATCGTAGGACTAAAAGAACATCCAACTCAGAGCAAGCTCGCTATTTCAGCTTTACATTTACTAGGAATTCTGAGTGTGGTTCTGGAATCCATTTAGGCACTGCAAGCCTGAATTCCTGACCAAATGATCTTACCTGGCTTGCCATGGTTCAAACTGTCTTCTGCCTTTCCCAAAGAACACGGCCGCACAAGTTCAGTTTATGGTACTCCTTCAGCTGAAAGAGATGTGGGGGAGGAACAAGATAAAGAATCTTAACCTTGAGATGATTTACTTTCAAAGATGTTCATGCCACCTCACATTTTTAATGTGATTAACTCAAAACTTAGAATTCTAAATTCTGACTTGTCACTGCTAAAGCAATGGAGATAAAAAGGATCTATGGCCAATGGGACTATGATTAGAAGTCAGCATCACTTTCTTAAGTTGTAACAGTCCATAAAGTTTTCCCCACTGTCCAAAGCACTAGAAAACCACAGAGAGCTTTTAAGTCACCTATACCTTACCCTTATTCTCAAACACCTACACATAGTATAGTAATACAGAAGATCGGTGTTCTAAAGTAGTTAACAAGGCAACAAAGATAGACAATTCAACACATTTTGTACAACCCCTCAGTTTTCCCCTTTTCAGCCAGATTAGAAGCCTATTTACTTGTACCACAAACGATACAGCTGAAAACAAGCAGAGGTAGTTCCTACGTACTGAAGAACAAGGGAAATAAAAGAGGCAGGAGGGCACAGCAGAGGTAAACGTCATCTTTCTCTGCACCTTTTCTCAGGTATGTCTTCTCTCTTCTGCTGCTTCCATAGACACATTTCACTCACTACCAGTGAGTCAGCAACAACAAATCACCTTTTACTGCTATCACTAAACCAGTGGATGGACTTCCCTGAAAAGCTATGTACCTCTTTTGTCGATTCTGATACCCTTTCTTTAAGCTTTTTCCCCTCCAGTCATCCAAATGATACAAATCAACGCAGAAAACAATTTCATTTTGCATCTACCTCCACACACAGCTGTTCATTCACTACTGGATTGGGGTGGTTTTTTTTTGGGGGGGGGGGCATGTTGTGGTTTGGTTTTTTGTTTTCACATCCAGTGTTGCTCCTTCTATGCGGCTACTTGATGGCTGAAATATTTTATTCTCATTTCCATGTAAGAATTTATGTAATGTTTTTATGTACTGTCTGGTCAAATCCACATTCACATAATACAATGAATAGAGTGTCTGCAATGCCTTAAAGGCTTGCCCACACAGGGGAACAGTTCAGAGCACTACCTCTGAAAATGGCTTAGACTAACCTGACACAGGATAGCCATTTACCATAATTAGAGCATCCATGCATGGCGTTATTTAGGATACCTATGCACTTCATCCCCACACCCATTCTGAAGCCAAAAGAGTCAAGTACAAACCAGCCCTTAACTACAGGCATATACCAGTATGGCTAGCATATGCCTTCTCACTAAACCTAACTGTGCTCATTAAAGAATTATCAGCAGCAGTTTTTTCATGTTAAAGAAGGTCATTATTAACAAAAATATTCACAGTGATGTTCCTCTTAATTCAAGCATTAAAAGGAACCACAAACTGCTCCATGCTCTAAACAGTGAGATTCCAATTACTGGGTTCACAGCTGCATTAGCATTTTTTTAAAACTTACCGTTCTCTATTCGTGCAGACGTAACGGAAGATGGTGCGCACTACGAAGCGGTTTTATCACAAAAGACTATTAGAAGGCAAGTGATACAACTGTTTCTCAACGACAGTTATCACGGACTTTATGCAAAACCGCGTTTCTGTTTTTTTTTCCCCGTCTGATCTTGACTGTTGCACCTCAATCTTTTCACTAGAAAACAAAAATATTTTAAAAGCAGTTAAAACAGCATGCATTAACGTAGTATTTTTTATATTTGTCTTAACTCTATCTACAGTCACGGCCAGCTTGTCATTTTAAGCAGTGAAGCACTTTTAGCTTCCGGAATTCAAACACATCCGTAACCAAATTACACATGCATTTTACCAGCCCGCTTATCCCACGTTTTCACTATTCCGCTCGTACCGGCGAAAAGGCCGGACGAAGCCATTTACGAGTAAACGCGCCTGTGCGAACGCGGCTCACCCGAGCTCGGAGGACAAACCGCCTCCCCCTTCCCCGAGCACGAGGAGCCCGGCCCGGGCGGCGGGGGAAGGGGGC